TATTATATACCCTTGCCAAAGCTATGTATTTCCTGGAAATTATGATATATGATTAAATTTTTCAATAAACCCTCTTATTTCTTATTTGGTTTGTGACTTAGATTGCACTGTTGTTATTTTCTATATTATCATCAACGTAAAGTGGCTAAACATATTGTTATAATTAAAGATATTGTTACATGTACAGATAATTGCCATTTTATAATTTAACAGACCCATTCCTATCTTAAATCCTTTAAGAAGCTTTCTAAGATACATTTGTTTCAGCAGCATAGTAAGTTACATGAGCTAATGTGATCAAATAACATTAAGGTTTTCTTAAATAGGAGCCTCATCCAAATGCCCAAATATTTGCAGAAGAGTTGAATGCTTCAGATTAAGGCTTAGAGGAATTGCCAACTACTTTGAAAAAGATATTTCAACTCAAATTTATGTATCTGCGAGAATTTATCTACAATTATACATCTCACTGAAAATTTATTGGAATCATTTGTAATCTTTAAATGATTTAGAGATCATCTTTAAAATAACTAGTTTTAGTGATATTTGTGGTAGAAACTACACTGTGAAACATTAAAATATATTTTCAATGAGCTTACATTTATGTTGATATTTACCTGAGTATGTTTAATATCAGATGGTATAATCACTTCCAAAAAGGAGAAATTGAGATGATTACTAGTATTCAGCTTTTCCTTTGTACCTCGAGGCCTTACTATCTTATTTGATATTCCTTCTACTTGGGAAATTCAATCTTTTATTACTCCCATACTGTTTAGCTTTTTCTGGCTAGCTCTTGTTTATGCCACAGGTTTCAGATGATATGTCAGCAGCTCAGACTTGACCTTCCCTTCTGAATTAGGTATCTGTTTCTTTCATAACATCCTGTACTTTTCCTTTATCTCTCCAATTATGATTATGATTATATAATCATTTGTTTTGTATTTGTGTAATAACACTTCCCTTTACCAAACATACTATCCACTCCATAGTATCTGGCACATAATAGATTTTCAAAAAAGAATTGTAAGAATCAATGAACAAATTTATTATAATATCCAGATTACTAGGCATGATTTTCATAATGTATACCTAACCTTTTCAGGATTTTAGCACACTTCATGCAAATAAGTAGATGTACATAAAATCAAGTTACTCCTTTTTCTGTAATAGAAACAGAGAAGGTTAGCCACAATGCTTTTCAAAACAGAGTGTTTGAGCAAGAGATTTTATTGGTGTTACATTTTCTCTTTTCTCAGTCTGAGTTATCTTCTAGGAAAGGATCACACAGATTCTTCAGTTCAGATGAACTCCAGCAATCACTTATATGGTGTTAACACAATCTTGCACTCTCTGCTGTTACTCCAAATTTTAATTATTGGTCTCAAAACTCCTATACTGTCTTAATCTTAGCAGGACAGCTTGTCACTTACCACTGAGTGAAAATGAAGGCTATTATACAAGAAATTCTTCATCTTTCTCTCTTTTACCTCCTGCCATCCTCCAAAAAATCCTGCATCCATGCATCGATATCCCTTCTTATTCTCTGCCTGTGCTCTTGGGAGAAGAGATTCTTTCTACCTCTGAGTTTAATGTTATTCCTTACTGTTTTCTCTGTGATCTTGCCACATAGTTATCCCTCTCTTACCTATGTTTTTTTTTTCGAGACAGAGTCTCACTCTGTTGCCCCGGCTGTAATTCAGTGGCCTGATCTCCTGCCTCAGCCTCCGAGTTGCTGGGACTACAGGCATGTACCACCATGCCTGGCTAATTGTATTTTCAGTAGAGATGGGGTTTCACCGTGTTAGCCATGATGATCTGGATCTCCTGACCACATGATCCGCCCATCTCGGCCTCCCAAAGTGCTGGGGATTACAATAAACAGTTTTAACTCTGCATCTATTATGGTTGCCTTCCTGTCTCTTTACTTTCCCATATGACTGTATCTATATACTCTAGGTCTCTACATTCTCCCTTCAATTCAGTCTTTTAACCCACTGTCATCTGACTTCTGCCCTCACCACCTAGTTCAGATTCCATTAGCAAGGTCACTAATGACTTCTTAATAGCTAAGTTATAATGAACATTTTCAGATCTTATTTTAATTTGACTGATCTGCTGGATTTAATATTGTTGTCTATAATTATTTTTTCAATTTTTATGAATTTTTCAAAGGTAAGGATAATACCTGCTTTATGTAGACATTTTAAACATTACAGAGTCATAAGAATTCTTTATGCTTTCCTTTAAACTTTATTCTCCCTATGTTTCTGTGACTCTTTCTTTTCTGATACTCGTCAGCTCTTACCACTCTGGCTAATTCTTAATGTGCACTTTATAGGTTTTTTCATTTACTGCCAACCCCCTTTCATGTTGGTGTTCAGTTGAATCCAGTGCTCAGACTTTTTTTCATTTGAAATTTCCCTGCAAAGTCATTTAGTGTTCTCTCCTTCAGTGACTGCCAGTTCAGTATTCTAACTCAGATCACTTTCCAAAGTGCCAGTATCCATACATCCTCTTTCTTAACTGCATAATTATCCAGAAATCTCATAGGCACTTCAAACTTTATCATTCCAAAGTGGAAATTAGAACCTTTTCTCGAAGTCTGTGCCATTTTCTCTATTACCTAGTCATTGTCGTTGCCTTTGGTCTAATGTGTCAAGCTGGAGCCTTATGCCAGATTTGTGTATCTTTTTCACCCTTCCAATTTGTCACTAATTTAATAGAATCTTCTCAACGTGTCTCATATAGTTTCACTCTTTTCATTCACAGTGTTACTTTTTGAGTTCAGACTCTTTCATTTCTTGTTTACATGAATACGTGAGTGGTCTCATTGCCTTCTGTCTTGGCCTGACTTTAATCCATCTTTCACTCTATAAATAATTGTCCTTAAACACTCAAATTTGACCGTATCATTTTTCTACTTAAAATAGTGTTCCCCCATTAGCTTTACTGTAAATCCCACAGGAGAGATTCCAATCTCCTTACCATACCACCCAAAGCCTTTGTGAACTGGTCTTTGCCTATCTTTCTAGCTGATGTCAGGACTAGGTCTCAAGGAACTGAAATTAGAATGGATCATTCTATTGTGAGTGTCAAGTAACAGAAAGACGCTGCAAGTTGAATATGAACTAAAGTATTTAAGAGTTTCGGTTGGTCAAATCAGAGACATGATATTTGAGACGTGGTTAGGATAAGAGTAAGAATGAAAATTACAGAAACACCAAGGATTTACACATAACTAAAGAGGAAGGAGAGTAAGATTGAGAACACAGGAAATAAGATGTTGGAAACTGTTACCAAGAGTCACTGAAATGTCTATAGCATTGAGCTTATGATGGGTAGGTATGACAGGTTGACTTAAAGGATCAGGGTTAAGATGGAGACGACAGAAAAATCTATATGTCTGATTGTTTTTCTCTTCTATATAAAGTCTTTATTCACTCCCTATCAACTATAGGACAAAAATCCAAGATTTTCAAATGACCAAGAGGGTTTCCATATTTAGACTTCTTTTTATCTCTGCAAGCTTACCTCCTTCCCCCTGCCCTCCTGATCTTTAGGTTTCATCAACAATAAATACCTGGTGCTCTTTTCTCATGTTTCCTCTACCAAAATTGTCCTTAATATCCTCATATTCTGGGTAAATGCATGTTCATTACTTAAAATCCTATAGACATCACCACCTCCAGGATGCTCCCTCTGAATCCCCTTCTCTCCCAGAGTTACCCGTCTATCCATCCATGCATTTATTTGTTTGTTTATTATTGAGAAAATATTTACTGAGTGATTGATATGGGTCAGATTCTGCATCATGTAATGGGAACACCATGGTGAATGAGATAGGCCACACATGACCTTTACTCTTCGTGGTCTTACATTTAGCAGTGGATACACATGTATGATGAAATATTGACAAATGAAATAATTACCAATTTCATAAATTCTGTGAATAAAAGAAACAGTGAACTATCATACAGAAAAATCAGGTTGAAGGGTAGACAGAGAGGCAAACTACTTTAATATAAGTTCGAACCATACAAAGTTGTTGATATTTAAACTGTTTGTGTCCCACAAAATAGTTTTACATAGTTTAACCTAATAGTTTACTTTCTGAGGAATTGACATTTAAACTGAAACCTGAAGGATGAGATGGAATTGGCCATACTGGCTAAGCCTATAATTCACCATGTTCCAGTAACCAAATGGAAAAAACTTGAGAAAAGGAGTGAGTGAACAAGACAAAATAAGAGAGAGAAGTAAGTAGTGCAGATCATATCGGACCTTATAGGAGATTGGATTTGATTTCATTAAAACCTAAAGCCACTGGAGTTCATTAAGATCCCTCTGTTTACAGTGAGGACTACAATAAAAGGGAATAAGGGTGGGAAAAGGCTACCTATTAAGAGGTTGATGTAAGGAGACAATTTGGTATTGCCTTATATTTTCAGAGTTTGGAATCAGGCTCCCTTTGTTTAAATCCTGGTTATGCCATTTATTAGCCCTCTTACTTCATGTTCAAATTTTGAGTTTTACTCGAATTATCTAAGCCTCAGTTTATCCATCTGTGAAATAGGGATAATGACAGGATCAGCTTCAGTGGTTTTGGCCTTCAGATTGAATGAGATAATGCATTGCAAACACTAAGCAGTCCTTGACAGAGAATAAACACTTAATAGGGAGTAGAGATTAATAATCCAAGTAAGAGATGATAGTGGCCTGAACTACATTGATGACAGTCTATTTGGAGACAAATGAATGGATATGATTCCTATTGGGGAGGTTTAAATATCAGGATTTAGTAATGTTTATATTAGGTTTATACCACAGTGTCTTTAATATGTAAAATTTTTAAATGTGCATATTGTTTGTACCCATGATATAAGATTTTGGAAATTTCTACTCTACTATGTGATAGGCAGTGAATAATTAAGCTTATATGTTTATTTTGTCTTTATATTAACGGTGATTTGTAATCATTCCATCTGCTTCTCTTACAGAATGGACCTTGCTTGGTATTTCAGTAGATAAAGAATTTAAGGAGAGTATCTTTGTTCTCCTTGGCAACTGAGAGTCTGCCCTGGGAAACATCAGGCACCATGGGGAAGCGGGATAATCGGGTAGCTTATATGAATCCTATAGCAATGGCCAGATGGAGAGGCCCAACTCAATCTGTGGGCCCAACAATCCAAGATTATCTGAATCGACCAAGGCCCACCTGGGAAGAAGTAAAGAAACAATTAGAAAATAAAAAAAAGAGGCTCAAAAGCATTAGCTGAATTTGAAGAAAAAATGAATGAAAATTGGAAGAAAGAACTTGAAAAAAGCAGACAGAAATTATTAAGTGGAAATGAGAGCTCCTCTAAAAAAAAGAAAGAAAGAGAAAGAGAAAGAAGAAATCTTGTCGGTCCTTCATCTCCTTCATCAAGCTCTGATTCTTCAAGCAGTTCTTCAGATTCTGAGGATGAGGAAAAGAAACAAGGAAAAAAGAGAAAGAAAAGAAGAACCGTTCATACAAATCATCACAAAGCTCTACATATGAATCAGAATCAGAGAGCAAGGAGTCTGTAAAAAAGAAAAAGAAGTCAAAGGATGAAACAGCGAAAGAAAAGGATGTGAGAAGCCTCAGCAAAAAAAGAAAGAAAAGTTATCCTGATGATGATTTCTCATCTGAGTCCTCATCTGAATCAGATTATGAAGAGGATGTGCAAGCCAAAAAGAAGAGAAGGTGTGAAGAGCGAGAACAAGCAAAGGAAAAGGTCAAGAAGAAGAAGAAGAAACAGCACAAGAAACATAGTAAGAAGAAGAAAAAGAAGTCTGGTCCAAGTCACAAGTCAAGATAACATAAAAAAAAAAAAAAAGCAACAATGAGTTTACCGAGTTTCCCTGTGTCAGTAGAATTATTCTGGACTTTGAGCTGTCAGTCAAATCCCACTGTGCCAGAAAGGGGCATAATGGCTGCCCGCAACTTAAATATACGCTTTTGTTTGTTTGCTTGTCCTTCCTTCCAGTGGTTAATTCCTCTGGGAGCTAAAATTTTCTTGTCATACCAGTGAATAAAATGTTTGAAATTAAAGTAAAACGTGTTAGATAACGAATAACTTTGACAAGAAATAAGTGTATCTAAGGTTTAAGTGTATCTTATTTGAATACATCTTTGAAATATAATCAGAAATTTCCAGATAATGGTAGCTGGTGTTTTTGATGCAAGGACTTAACATTGATGTCTCAATTCCTTGCTTTTGTAGATAAGTTTAGTTCATTTACTTTTCTCTTTAATGTATCTTTGTTTACATGGGGAAGAGCATGTGGGGTGGGAAGGGCAAGTGTTTGCTAATCACTGTGGCTAGCTGAATAGTGTGCCTTTGACTCTTACACATCCTATTTTTGCCAGAGCAGCAGCCATCTGTTTCTTACTTAATGAAATTCTGGGATGTTGTATGCTGCTTCAAGTGAACAAGAAGGACCGAAGTTTACAGCATAAGTAAGACCCCATATCTATGAAATTTACCTCTTCTTCAGCACTGTTCACTATACAGTATTGAATAATATTTAGTATTACAATATTACATGATTTGAAGTAACTTTTATACCCATTTTGTATGGGAATCATTTTAAACAGACCCTGATGGTTTTTGATTAGGAAATATTCTGAAATTGTTTTTGCATGTTTTATACTATTAAGTTTTAGTTATCTGGCCATATTCTATATAATTGGTGATCCTTTTATAAGATATGATTCATGCTTAGGTTATAAGTTTCAAGTTTGTGATTTCTTAATCTTGCTATATTAATTTCATTACTGTGTTTAATTGCACCCTTGCCAAAATATTTAGCATGTGAAAAGATTTTTTAAGAACATATGTAATGCCTTCATATTGAAGCTGGTTACTGTACGCAAGTTAAGTGCCAGACCTCTATCTAGTACGCTATGTGTTACATAAAACTACTGCCAAAATCTTAGTAAGGTTGCTGTTGAAAAGATTTTTGTCTTAAGCATTAATGTTGAAATATTATAGGAGTTAAATTTAGGTGATAGTGACATCATTGATCTTCCTGTGTCCATATTTTACTACAATTTGGTGCCTTGTATCTGTTGCTGGTTCACTTTTACCACTAATGTAAAATAAGTGAAAAAATATTTTATGTTACGTTTTTATATATCAGAGTAACATAAATTATAAATTTATGTCTCAAAAACCACCTGTGATGGAGGATGTGCTAATTGTAATGTCATAGGTACAAAGTATTTTGGCACGATGAAAAGCTAAATAGCTATTGGTTTTAAATAGCAGATTTTATCTCAGCTACCTTCGATTACAAGTAAAATTATAAAGGTAAAAAACATCTGCTAGATAAATAACATGTTGGCTTGCCAAATTTTTTGCATTGGAAATACTGGAATCTCTCATTAAGGTTCTTGGAACTTTATAGTGATGCCATGTTAGATCACCTTGGAGCTTCATAACTTTAGCTTTTTCCTAAAACTATGTTTATGCTGATAAAAACTATTGCATTTATGGGATTTTTTGTATCCATATAGAGTTTTTCAAAATGTTCATTAAAATGCTTTCATACGTTTATATTGTTTGTAGAATATGGCAAAAGTATTTACAGCTCATCATGTATCTTTCTGCTCCCATTCACTTCCAAACTTCTTGTAGTTAGGCAATGTCATTTAACTACTTCAAGCAGAGGGATTGTAAACAGAAGTGCTTTTGCATTTCCATGTTGGAGCTGTAAAAATTTCTGCATGACCCTCCAGTTTTCTTTCGCCTGTGATGGTGACGTGAAAGCAAGTTGTTCCAAATGGGATACTTACAAGATGGATGTAACCTGGGTCCATAAGTGACAATTTAGAAGGACCTGACTGGAGTGCTGATGGACTTGCAGTAAACTTTTTAAAGTAAGAAATAAACTGTTATATGTTAAGCCACTGAGATTTGGGGTCTTTTTATTACTACATAATCATCTAACCTAATCTGACCAATAACACAAAACTCTAGTATATTTGTTTCATCGTTTACATAAAATAACTCACCTTCTTGTATCACATTCTTCTGTAGTCTACCCATTGACTCAGAAGTGATAATTATTCCATAGTAAAACGAAATACTCATTTATTTGCATCAGTTTTTATGTAATGATTGAGAGAGTGGTCTACCATATTTCATGCTTATCAGAAATGCTGCCTAGGAAATAAAACTACATTGTTCTGCTGATTGTAGAAAAAAGTTCCAGTAAAGTGTTTGAGAAAGAAATTTTTAAAGTACTCATGAGGACTTGATGAAGAGGAATGCTATTTTTTTGTATTAATCCTAAAAGTTGTGGTAGAGAAATATGGAGGACAATAGACTATATAGATTTAGTTGAATGTTTAATATGTAGCTTCTAAATTAGAAGCAACATAGTATTTTCCCTATGTGAAAAGCACTAAAGTTCTTATTACTGATCTGCTTTATCTGATTAGTAAGGAGTATAGCTTTAGGTATAACATTCAATTCGCTTAGGCTATGGAAAGGGCAGCAGTGAGAAAGTAAATAAGAAAGATGGGAGATGGGAAAAATCGATACACTCTAGATTCACAATTTAATTCTGAGCACAAAAGGAATTTGAAGCATCTCAGGCTTCAGGTGAAGGTTTAGATTGGAAACAATAAAATGTGGGGTTTTTGTTTTTTGCCTTTTGACAACTCTCTTGATAATTATACATTTATTTTGAAGCAAAGTTTCATTTAATATTGTGACATTTCTGTAGTCACTTCTTTTTGGCCATATTTATTTTACAAAAAGGACATAGTTATTCTGAGATGTAGGGTTGTGACTACATCATGCTTCATGAAAATTATAGACAACCATTCAAAATCACCTATGTAATTTAACATTGAGACTTTCTCATTCCTGCCTGAGCTGCAAACATGGCGTGTTTTTTGATCATATGGCTCTAGCACTTTTTCTTGACTCTTCATGCTACTTATAAAGCTTTAATTTGCTTTATATTATGTATTTGTAGACTTATGGTCTCTGTGTATTATGAGCCTTAGCTCTCAGCTCACACTAGGCTGACATTTTCATTCTGCCATTTTTTGACATGTGACCCAAAATAAGTTATTTCACTACCTCTCTATGACACAATTTCTTCATATACAAAATCAGAGAAAATGATATCTGTATTAAATCATTTTTCTGTTGCTATAAAGAAATACTTTTGTAAAGAAAAGAGGTTTAATTGGCTCACACTTCTACAGGCTGAACAACATGGCACCAACTTCTGCTCAGCTTCTGGTGAAGGCCTCAGGAAACCCTACACTCATGGTTGAAAGTGAAACGGGAGTAGGCACCTTTCATGCTGAGGCAGGCAGCAAGAGCAGGGGGAGAGATCCCAGACTTTTAAACAACCAGGTCTCTTGTGAACTGAGTGAGAACTCACTTGTCACCTAGGAGATCCTATTAAACCATTCATAAAGAATCCACCCCTATGATCCATCATCTCCCATTAGGCCCTACCTCCAATATCGGGAATCACTTTTTGGTATGAGATTTGGAGGGGACAAACATGGAGATCAGATCAGTACCTATATCTAGGATTGCTGTGAAAATAATATAACATTTAAAGTATTTAATGTTCCTGGCACATAGTAAATGCTCCATAAATGGTTTTTTCATCCTCCACCTCCAATTATCATCATGATCACGTATGACATAATAATGATGATTGGATTATTATATCATCACTTCTATGCTGCATTTGAACTTTTTTAAAGGTAGAAGCTGCTTCATCTTTTGTCTGTAACAATAATACATGGTGTTATGCATATGATGGGTGTCTCCAAATTTTCATTAAATTGAATTAGTTGATCAAGACAGGAGAAAGGAATGTATGTAGTGTACTAGATGTTGTGTGTAAGCTCCTTGCCTTATGTTTTACAACAGCTGAATTGAGATATAATTCATATACTATAAAGTTAACCTCTTTAAAGTATACAATTCAATGGTTTCTAGTGTATTTACAAATATATGCAAGCATAACCAGACTTTATAAAAACATACTATGGCCATTAAGCAGTCAATGCTCCTGCTTTATGGACATAGATTTCTGGACCTAACCAAGAATCCCATATAACCACTAGGTTAGAACATGTAAATCATCTCAAAAAGAAACTTTGTACCTTTTATTTTCCCTACTCCCACCTCACCCATTCTTTCAAGCTTTAAGCAACTGCTGGCATGCTTTCTGACTTTGTATATTTCCCTATTCTGGACATTTCATATAAATTGAATTACATAATTATGGTCTTTTCTGACACTTCTTTCACTCAGCATAACTTTGCCAATGTTCACCCATTCTTTAGCATGTATTAAGAGCATTTATATCAAGATAAAAAGAAAGAAAATCTAATGTAGTCCATAGAATTTCTACTAGAACCAGGAGAAAAGAAAATATCTTCCATATTTAAATATGCCAGACATCATTAATCCAATTTGTACTGATGTAAAAATACTGATTATACAGAAGGCTATTGAGATACCCATATTTCTTGGGTATAAAAATGTTCAAATACGGATTAATAGAGAAATTGGGTCAATTTTTATGCTAGATGCAGATAACATTAACCTAGCATGAATATGATTTGTGTTCAGAAATTTGGCAAGTTGAAATTGGTTTAGGGAGAGCATGGATATCCTTATTTTCCCTCAAATAGCTACTACTCTGAATAATTTAATCAAGAACTCAAGTGTTTTGAAATGTCTTTTCCCAGAAGCTGTTTACAAAGATCAAAGATACAGATTGTCACCCGTTAAAGAAGTTGCTGTGATCCTTTTTTTGTTTCGTGCCCCCAAATAGCTTAACTACTTCTTTATCCAAATAGTATCTCATTTTCAACCCATCCACCCACCTTCTCATCTTCATTCAATTAATTTACTTAAATTTGTTTTTAAGATGTGTCCCATTTACACCTATCTAAACCTTCACAGGATTCATTTATCTAGACATTCTTCGGATATAATACACAAGAACATATTTTCTCTATCATAGTCTCTTTAGTGACATAAATATTTTACTAGTACAATAAACAAAATAAGAAGTAAAGAATCACAGTTAAGGCCCTGTTACGTCTATTACAATTGAAGAGGGGGAAACCAGTGGTGAAATCCATGAGCTAGTATGTCTCAAAGTGATCTTAATAATGTTCCAATACATAAAAATAAGATAAAAATAGAGATAAATATCAATCAAAAAATGCAGACTTTACAAAAGACATATTATGGTCATTAAGCAGTCACTGCTCCTCCTTGATGGACATATATTTCTGAACCTAACCAAGAATCCTATATAAATAATTTCTATAAGTCCAATGATCTTTTGTAATACCACATATATCTGTATCTGTCATATTCAAGAAGTCATTGCAATCAATTAGTAAGGCAAGATTTGATTATCCCCAATATATAGCCTTATATGCACCTGTATAGATTAATCCTTTGAAAAACTACCCATAAATATCTGTCATATATCTGCCCAGCCACTGATAGTAGGTTGTACCAAGACCATTCCCTGCAAGATTGTATCAATCAGAGATGCAATCATTTAACAGGTGGCACACTCCAGATAATTTGAAAAGGGTTTATTTACAAAAGCGCCAGTTACAAAGGTGTCCGCAGAGTATAGGAGAACCGCAGAGCTAGTGTAGTAATCTTGGGGCTAGTAACAATAAGCTACCACTACTTTTAGGCCCAAAGAGATGAAAACTAAGAAAGAGAGTTTTGTATAGAAGGTCACTTTGAGCTGAGCATAGTCACAATCAACCTGAGCTTTTATTTAAACAAATAGATACCCTCAGTTCACTTCCTTTCTTTCTTCTGATCTTTTGACCTGCTTCCCCATTAGCTGAACTCGATTCGAAATCAGAAGTTATGGGATCACACTGATGTCATCTATACAAGTCAGCCTCCTCAGGCACAGGTTAGGTTGAAGAAGGATGGAGAGTGGAGTTGGAGGGGCAAATGAAAGATATACCCAGAACTGCACACCCTTTTTGCACTTCAGCATTCATTCTCGTCCTTCAACTGAGTGAACATTTTATGTCTCCTGCCAAGAAGTTTCATGGAGTCACACAAGTTAATATCATCTCAAGGTGATGTCAGTTTGATCACATCGCAAATATTAGCCACCACTGACGTTATTCATTAAAATAGTGTGGGGTATAGGAAGGTGAGAGGAAAAGGAACATAAAACATAGTGCTACATCTTTTTCTTCTATAACTGTTCATAAGGCTAAATCAATTAACATAGCTACGTTTCCTCTCCATTCCACGCTCCCCTTACCCTCTGCCAGCACGTAAATGGATGGGGTTCTTTACCTAGTCAGGTGTAACAAAACTGTATTCCTGATGGATCTGAGTCCTTGTAGTCCTGCCTTTACTGGGTTGTTGCAGTTTTCAGTTGATGAGGACAATTGAACAAGGGAGTGAATAACAAGAGGCACCTCAGTGAAGTACTTGAATTCTAAACATAATCCTCTTGGTGCCATTCTGTAGCAACAACCCAATTTTCCCCTAAAATTACAACCAATTACCTAGTCCAATACAATGACTCCCTTCTATGCCTATTGGTTTAGTAGCCTAAGGAGCTCAAGAAAAGCCATGGGGATAGTCTCAGCTTCCTACTCATCAAACCCAGGACTCTTTTTTTCTGGTGGAAGTATTCTTCCCTTGTATACTAGGATTTCCAAACATACCAAGATGACTGTGAAAACAGCAAAAAAAAAAAAAACAACTGTTCAAGGAAATTGTGAACTGTAATAGTAAGAGCCAGTCCCACCTACCCTTTAATTCTTGGTTATGAAAGAAATTGCACCACTTATTGGCCACATGGTTTAAGCCACATATTGTATCCTTTAGCACAGCATCCTAACCTTGCAGGTGATGTGT